GAGCCGATAGCAGCAGCTATGCAGTCTGCTTCCGATAGAGATGCAGACCGCGTAGCTGCTCCCGCAAGTCGGGCACGCGGTCCGTGACCATGTGCCCGACTTGTCAGCTGGCTGCGGGCCATTTAGTACCGGATCGCGGGCCCATACTTTGAGACCCCTGCCCTACACACTTCACTACTGACCGCCAATACCCTACACGCTTCACCATAGACCAAAAATAACCTACACGCTTCACTGACCGACAATAACCGAAACACTTCACCACTGACCCCCAATACCTACACACTTCACCACTGACCACCAATAACCTACACGCTTCACCACTGACCGCCAATAACCTTCACACTTCACCACTGACCACCAAAAAACCTAAACACTTCACCACTGACCACCAATAACCTACACACTTCACCACTGACCCCCAATACCTACACACTTCACCACTGACCACCAATAACCTACATACCCTTCCCCCCTGCCCCCCAATACCCTCCACGCTTCACCACTGACCACCAATAACCTACACGGTTCACCACTGACCGCCAATAACCTTCACACTTCACCACTGACCCCCAATACCTAAACGCTTCACCACTGACCACCAATAACCTACACACTTCACCACTGACCCCCAATACCCTACACACTTCACCACTGACCCCCAATACCCTACACACTTCACCACTGACCACCAATAACCTAAACGCTTCACCACTGACCAATAATAACCTTCACACTTCACCACTGACCCCCAATACCCTACACACTTCACCACTGACCCCCAATACCCTACACACTTCACCACTGACCACCAATAACCTACACGCTTCACCACTGACCGCCAACAACCTTCACACTTCACCACTGACCACCAATAACCTACACGCTTCACCACTGACCACCAATAACCTGCGCACTTCACCACTGACCACCAATAACCTACACACTTCACAACTGACCACCAATAACCTACACACTTCACCACTGACCACCAATATCCTGTAGTGTAATAAAGTTTGTGCTAACCTTGTAATTGGCACTTTTGCTAGCCTACTTGGTCTACATGTAAAAGCCAGGTCTCATCTGATAGAGGCACCGTCAGTGTGAGCCTGAGAAGAGGTTGAGAAGATTCTGGTGCAATTCAGGACTTACAGTATCTATCCTAGGCTGCTTCCTCTTCATACCATATTGCAGAAGGCTCTTAGTTGAAGCTTAGCGTACATCATTCAGTTGGGGATTGATTGAGGTGTTGGCAGCGGAACTATAAAAGGAGTGGTGGAAAACACAGCCGCAGGATTACTCTGCAGACCTTCTGTACACAATTTAGTCCCTGACTCCCCACTGTCACAGCCTTTTTCCACCGTTACAAAAAAAAAAGTACCCTTAAATTTGTTGTCCAGTAGGCCTGGGGTACTCATATCCCAGGTTGGAAACCGCTGCTCTAGGAGGAACAATGGCTCTGGGTTAACATTTTTTCCAGGTAGCCTTTTTGCTGTATATCCTCATGAAACTCTGAGCACATGTGCAACCATACTCATCATCACAAAGACAATTGAAGTAGAACTAAAGTCTGCATCGTGTTAGGTGGGCTTTAGCCATTATATGCAAGAATGCACAGCATAATTGCACGTTATGGCAGAGGGACACCTCCAGCACTATAAAACCCCCCTTGTCCTCTGTCACTGGTGATTCCATCTTCTTCTAGTTTCCTTCCATGTCCACAGTCTTTGGCTGGCTTGTTTGGCCTGGCCAGGATGATGTTAGTCCCATGCATGCACATTTGAAAAACGCTGGGATTATACATACAGTGTCACCTCTACCATAAATACCTACCTGCTAGCAATGTTTTTACACTTTAGATGTTTAACTTCACCTTAAACTGTTAGCACCCCCAGAATTGACTAAGGATAGGGGTGGGGGATCTGGTGATTATATGTCTCAGAGTCCCTGACCCTACTTTCCCTGTCAGAGACTCCCTGCTCGAGTTGCTGACTCTACCTTCCATGCAATGAAGACCTATTCCTTCTGCTGTTTTCTTCTAAGGCTCCCCTTAGAAAGCAAAGAACATTGGCATATTTCTGAGACCCGTGAGAGATATAAGAAGCTACTGGGGGATTCATATTGAATGCTTACTTCTGAAATGTAAAAGAGTTGCACGATTGTTCTCATGTGTCTCCTGCTGACCAAACAAGCATGCAAATAAGAACTTCTACATTCTCTATACTTTTCTAACCTGCATAATTGTGCTGGGTCAGTGACTCAGATATTGAAGTTAGTGGATCACAGCCAGGCAACATTTTCAGAAGTCAGCAATGGCAGCCTCTCTCTTTCTTAAAGCAAAACTAAAGCCACAGCATGTGCTCATAGCAAGCATGCACAGTCACCAAGGACTTCAGGCTTCACTGATCTTCCTATTTGTTCTTGGTCAAAAACTAAGAAAATATTGAAGCCAGGTAAACAGCATTACAGCTGGGCAAGTAACACTTTCGGAAGGATGCCAGAAATGGCACCTCCCATATGTCCCCTCTATTCTTATTGGAAAGAAGTGAGCATCTCTTTTAAAGTAAAGCTGTTTTCAAGTAATTGTTTTGGGATGTATTTATGAAATATAGTTGTGATTTTATTATATTGTTGTGTGGTGGTAGCTTTACATCTGACCTCTTGACTCTTGTGATATCTCTTTTCAAGATTGGAGTAAAGCTTCATAAAATATAGCATTTGCTGCTGTCTCTATTTCTGTGAAGCTCTGAGGATAAGTGAACAATCTAGGACAACATAGCTGATTTGGAAAATGTCTCCAATTCTGCTCACTTTCCAGTTCAGCTATGTTGTCCTAGATTGTTCACTTCTCCAGCCTTCTCCAAACTCTTCACGCTTTTGTGAATAACCCTGTGTTTTTGGTGCATGTATTTCCCCAAATGACCAGGTGGAGCAGTAGTTCATTCTTGTGGGTTTGTAATAAAATTTGAGTAAAAGAATAGGATAGATTACCAAAATATACATATATTTTGGCCAATTGCAGTATGCTGCTGTTATTAAGATATTAGAGGACTCATCTCCATT